ATGGCCCCCGAATCTTGCAAAAGTCCGACCCACCAGCGAGTGCAAATAACCAAACAGGGCTCTGTCACATTTGTAAGTGCAAAGTCGAACTGCTTTCACATGTGGTACACTTACAATAAAAACAGTCGCCTACTTCTACCCACCATGATTATAATGGCCTGTACTACGTGTACTAGGGATAAGCATAAAAAATTAGACATAGAGATACATAAAGGCTATAAAGATAAGAAGAACATATTATCAAAGGACTTCTTTCACAAGATATTTTGTATTGATATATTGCATTGATATTCAGTATTAATGTATGGAAATAAGTAATTGGGCAATTAAAACACACACAAAATGACCATCATTAAGAGGTAGTGTTTTTATGTGTGTGTGCATTGCTGCTCTTTAGCTGCCACCATGTCTATCCAAGGCTTCACAACGGTCTACAGGACATTGATGTAGGTGTCAGCGTTCATCCTAAGGCCCTTCTCAAAGAAATAGGAAGGCATGACATCACCTTCACTGCTGATAATGCCAAGGACCATCACGGAGGCAGGAAATTCCATGTACATCATGACGGGTACTTCAAGGGGGTCTTTACAGATAAAGGATCATTCCTGGGATTTTCCTTTTGGTCCACGACAAAGTTATTTTTATCAGAGAAGAACCTTCCAAATTGTTTCAGATTGTTTAGGATAGTGGCATCATTGCCTTTTCTGTTATCCTTCATATTCTAGGTCAGAAACTGGCATTTTTCCGAAGACCATGGAATTTGAGACCAAGGTCCTCAATGGATAGTTCTGACAATGGTCCTAGATCCAATGTCCATTTCATTGGCTATGGCCTTCATGCTCTTCCTAGGGTTTTCATCAATCTTTTCCTTGACATTTTTGACAAATTCTTCGCCTCTTACTCTGTCTGCTCGACCCAAGTGCTTTTCCATGCAGCCATTCCCTCTTTGTTGCTACCGTCCACATCAAACTGATTCTTGACACAATAAACAGTGGTTTTAGGAAACTTAAGAAAGTTCACTGTCTCTCAGACTTCTTCCAGCGCACAGAGCAACGATTATGGCTAGTCAATTTTCAAATTCTCTATTATTGTTCATTACTACACTGCACACACATGGCTTTGGAATGAAAAAAAAAAAGCAAGTTTTTTTAATCTAAAGTAGTATTTGTGTATTATTGACTGCCAAAGTTATTCTCAATTTACCTGGTACACTCTGTCTAAGTATGCATGTTTGTAATAATTAGTACACACTCAGAAGAGACAGAGGCAATTTTGCTCATACTTGGTTATCTTGTGCGTCTTCTTAATCCTAATATACATGCTAAAAGTTACAACTTCCTTTAATTTTGTCCATGAGTGTATATAATAAACGTGTGAAGTTGGCAACGATGAATGTGACGCACTGTAATACTTTTAAGCACGGTGCGCATACACTAATTACGGCCATTGTATGCCCCGAATGTGATTTTTAAAATTCATCGAGTTATCAATGGTGCCGAAATATTGTTTGGTCAAATCGTTGGTTATTTGATAGGCTGGGACATGAAAATATGGTCCAATTATCAAATTAAACTGCAAAGTAGAACCTCTCTGTAAAGGATAAAACCTGGTTGCAGGGCCAAAGTGCTCTTTAGGTAGAGTTTTTTTTCTTACTTGGGAGTATTTTTGTATTATTATACCTAGTACACGTAGTACAGGCCATGATAATCATGAAGGGTAGAAGTTAAGACTGCTTTTACTGTAAGTGCACCACATGTAAAAAGCATTTCGACTTTTGCAACTTGAAAGTTGTTAAGTAGCAAAATGGGTAATTTTGGTGATGAAAACTACTTTGTAGAGAGATAGCCTCTACCAAGTGTGTCATTTCATGGAGGTTCTGCCGTAATAGAATTAAATGATAGGGGCACTTTAAAATGAATTTATAACATGAATTACTTTTAATACAGAGTAGAACCTCCATTAGCGAACACTCATGCTAGCGTACACCTCTAAATAACGAACAGTTTTTACCGCCAAAATTGCCCTCCCATTGAAAACACGTTCGCGCTAGCAGACACCTCAAAACAGTGGACACTTTCCCAATGTATCATTTATTGATTTTACATATAATAGACAATTAAAAAATGTTTTATTGATACTCCAATTGATACAAATATTAATCAGAAATTAAACAAAGATAAATGAAATTATTTACAATTTAGTGATAAAAAAGCTTTTCTCAGGAAGGGAGGCTCCTCCATCTTGTCCTCCTCCAGACAAGGACAGGATCTCTCAGTTCAATGTTGAGAGACATTCCTGCTAGCGGACAATACAGAACAAAAATTTGAGGTTGAACAAAGAATATAGTATAGCTTCATTAATTCGACCATGTTATTATGTCCCAACATTATAAAATAACGAACATCTTTATTAAACGATAATTTAACACTTTCGTTAATTCGACCAATTTTTAAAATCAAACTTCAACAACATTATATAATTCTTGTTTAGATACAATTTTATAGATAAAAGTGTAATACTTTAGCATGCTAGGCACAACAGCCGTAGTTAGCGTATGCCCACCGTGCTTAATAAAAGGGTTTTAATGCCACATTGCAAATATCGGCGCCGATGTTCGCGCGTGATTTTTGTTAGGCCTAACTTGAGCTCGCTCACATTATTAATTACAAACATGAGAAATATGAACAGCTTCCTCATAGAAAACAGTGTACAATGATCCTGGTTCATGGCTGTCTGGAATCGAAGGTTTTAACCACTCGTCCACCGATTCTTCCAATTAAAAATATATTACAACAGTATACTCATGGATAAAACTTTTATAATGTATATCAGAATTCAGACCATAACTCTGAAAGATATTACAGTGACCTTTTTTGAAGACACGTGAGATAACCAAGTGTGAACAAAATTGCCTCTGTCTCCTTCAAAAAAAAATAGATGACCGGTGACATAAAGGACTTTCCACTTCCCTAATTTTTGTCTATAATTGTATTTCAGAATTTTTTTATGAATTATTGTGATATTAGACTCATTTGATCTTTACATATTAGGAATCTGATACACCTGTATGTGATCTCTTCTTTCTGTAATGGTACAGTTTAGTGGTATGAGAATAGTTTGTTTTATGACTATATCTATATACATTTTTAGGTTTAATGCCTTCTTTAATGTCCTTGTATAACGGGATCTAGTTAATTGATATATTAACCCAACAATATAAGGTTATAATATGATCCAATAGCGTGCCATCTGTTATGAGAATTTGAAACTATTGTAGACGGATTCTTTTAAAAATTAAGCCATTTTCTACTGCCCTTACTGCAATAATTAATTTTTCATTCCAGTATGGGCAGTAGTAAATGTTTCATTTTTAGAAGAATCCGTCTATAATAGTTTCAAATTCTAAATAAGACATATTTTTTTTTAAACGAATGATTTTTTTTTTCTGATGGTTCATTGGATAAAGTTGTGATGGATTTCTGAGCATAATTCTGTCTTTGAGAATATTTTATTTGTTACTGAAAGGAATTAGACAACTCCGTCCTTTGCCGGTCCCGGATGAAAAAGGAGGAAGGGGAGCAGTAACAAGTTCACTAAAAAACCTAGGTTCAGCTGGCCCGGCTGATAGTACCCTGTAAGGGCTCAGATCCAGGGATACAGGATGAGTATGTACTCCATGTTAGGAGCGGCTGCACATGGCGTCTGTACCTCATGTCAGAGGCGGCCATTTCATATTGAAGCAAAGTCGGCCTTCTACTGAGTAGCTCTCATTCTACTTCAGCCAGTCATGATCGTTATCTGTACAGGCTTGATACCCTAATATGATGTGAGTATTATTTATTTAGGTAACACAGGTTCCTGGAGCGTATCCATAGATTACCAACTACCCAGTAGTAGTAACATAAAGGTAACACAGGTTCCTGGAGCGTATCCATAGATTACCAACTACCCAGGGGTAGTAACATAAAGGTAACACAGGTTCCTGGAGCGTATCCATAGATTACCAACTACCCAGTAGTAGTAACATAAAGGTAACC